CTATGTAGTTGTAGTGGACATTCAGTACTCTGTAAGGATGTGTCTCGCATGATGGACATTCAGTGGTCACTACACCACATGCATCAGGATGTGTGTTATCAAGAAACACTTATCAAAGTTACATCAGAGGGGACCCCCTTGGCCAGAAGCTCTGCCTGTTGTGCTCTGTAGCATCCAAATAACACCTAACAAGGAGATGAGACTGAGAGTCTATGAAGTGATGACAGGCAGGCGCATGTCACAACCAGGAAGTACTGATGTGCGCAAAGCCGATGAACACACATATGCAGTAATGAGGACTGCCACAGCAGTATAGTGATCAGTGATGATGGATGAAGGTCAGACTGATTTGCATACCTCCCTCCTCTTTCATCTGGCCCAGGAACCAGCAAGTCCATCTTGTTAAGGCAGTCCAGCTTCATCAGGTTTTCCCTGTAGACTATGATGCACAGTGGGGGCACCGATAGGCTCTGCTGGAAACAGGGGAATTAGATTTAAAATTACCCGTAATCCTTATAGATGGCAATTTGTCAGACAATGCAAATTGAAACTTTCACAGTTCATCTGACAAAAATATATAGTGAAACAAACCAGCTTAAGTTAAATACACTATTTATTAACTGAATGACTGGATCTTATATTAGAAATAACATCGACTCCATCGAAATGGTTACTAAGAGGATGGCATTAAAGAAACCCAGCTCACCCTATTCATGACCTACTGATGAAATAGTGCATTAGTTTCTCCAACAGGTTTATTGAGCTCCACTATCACAAAGAGCAGTACAGGAAATCAATCTTACCAACAGCCATCAGACTGCATAGCTCAGCCCTGAATGTAAGATGCTCACAGTGTACCACAGTGTGGTTTAGCTCACTGCTACAGCCTCTATGTTATATCTGTTGTCAGCATTTATTAATTATTTATAAATTACTTACTGTGAAGTACTCCTCTTACATATTGTACTTCATAGTTTTTCATTGGGCAATTCCATTTGTGTATCTGCTCACTCTTTACACGGCAGGCTGCATATTGTACATTCATATTTATACTTCCACTCTCGACACTTACAGCTATTCCAAATACTGTTGTATATTAGGGCTGCAACTAACGACTATTTTGATGGTCAACTAGTCATCGACTATTAAAATGATTAGTCGACTAATCGGATTATAAATTGCATAATTATAAAATGGCTCCTATTTAGCTACCAGCTTTTACATTTAGCATGAGGTTATTGTTCGACTTGAATGCCGCAAGAAAACACATGTAAAATCGGAAAGAGCTGTCCTGCGATTGATTGTGCAAATAGATTTAACACAAAATAGGAGCTATCTTTTTAGAGACTAAATAAGTAAGTATAGGACGTGGATTGGTCACACATGGCTGATACCCAATCCGTCAAATAGGTCTGGATCGGTGCCGATACCTGATACAATCTTTGTTATAATCAGGGCTGCATATAACTGGTACGCAAGTACGCATTCACCTTTAAAAGCAATACGTGCGGCAATCCATTGCTGTGACAATGCAAATGCGTACGTATTTTATGTGCATTTGCGCTGATATGACAAGAAATTATCATGCGCATTTTAACCTGTATATGCTAATTCGTACTTCATTTGCGGTATAGAGGTTAAAATACACGGTAATTTCTTGTCATGCCAGCTATTTATACAGCCTATGTTTACAAATAAAAACTCATTGTAAAGCAGGCTGAAAAATCCCAAGATCCCGACCCAAAATACGGGAAATTTAGAGCAGCTTCCCATTGCCATTCCTCTGTTAACAGCAAGAAAACAGACTTCAAAACTGCTGTTATTTATTTATTTTTAACAGAGCATAAGAGCTCTCGCAGGACTTGTGACATCGGAGCCACTGTCCTGAATCTTGAGCTTCGGCGTTTTGGCTTCATTATCTATTCAAGCAATGGGTTTTCTCCACTGTTTTCCGACCTTTTTAGTTACTATTAGCGAATGAGACACTTCATGACACACCACTGACTTCCAAACATAAATACGTTCTATTCCGATCTTTTTTGAAAATGTAATATATACTACTAGCCTATTATTATGCCCTATTATTATTATTATTATTATTATTATTATTGGATACGCCAGGCAACAAGAAGCCTGTGAAGTACTCCTCTTACATATTATGTAGTTGTAGTGGACATTCAGTACTCTGTAAGCCCGTGCCATTCACCCTTTTGGAGATCTCGTCTTTGTTTGGGGACATTAAAATCCTTTGAGACCGATGTGGCACTAAATGCTGGGGAATTATTTTCTCCTTACTATGAAGTTTGGAATCTTAAACACGCGTCGGGAAATAGCTTGCAGCCTGTAGGCTACTCCGCAGCCGTCAAACTGCTGAAACCATAATATTTATTTTTATTTTTAGGAAGAATTATTAAATCGGAATTAAGAAATACAGCCTTTCCAGCCACCCCCCCCCATCTTTTTTCCTTCGGATCTACATAAATCTCATTATTAACCTTTAGTGCACTCAGCTGACGGAAAACTTTAATTCATGTGTCCCAGACTTTAATACGCGATGATGCCTGCGTTTAATACGCGATGATGCCTGATTTGTGGCCGCCATTCTTCTACCTGTCGCTGAATGCTATTGCGCAAGAGCGAATCTCACCAGTGTGGTGTATTGGTGCAGTCTATTGGAAAACGGTAGTATCACTCCGTTTCAAAATACGTCTGGCGACAATTAGCGTCAATCAAATTCGTCTGCGACTGTTTATATTGTCGAATTTTGTCAACAATGTTAAATAATCGTTGCACCCCTATTGTAGGCCTATATTGTGGATTATTATAATGCCTTTACTTGTGTAATTACTTACGGGATCCATTTCACGTGGGTTCCCGTTTTCTATTTTATTCTATTTTGTCTGAAACTTGGAAACTCATCCTTTTCCTATATTTAAGCTACGGGTACTGTGATATGCAGCTGTCACATTTGTTTGCTGTTTTGACAAAAACAATTCCCTAGCTGGGATCAATAATAGATAAACGGATGAATGTACATCTATATAGCACTTGTTTTCAAAACAACTGTATCACAGATTAAATATATCAAATAATACTACACAGTTTAATACTGAACATCAGTTAGTTTGGAGCATGATTTGAACACTGCAGGTACCCATCGCTACCCTGAAATGAATAAGCTGATAGTATATGTAAGCATACATACATGTCACTGCATATTACTGTAATTGTTGTGCACAATGACTTGTATGGGGAAAATTTTTCAATCTGCTCCCATTCAATCTTCTACATAAAACCTCCAAACTTGCTGAAGAAATCCAGTGTGCAGCTCAAAAGAATTCAATCAACTTTCATCCATTTAACCCTCCTTTATCCCTTCTTTTTCACCCCTTTACTTTCCTCCAATTATCATTCATTCATTTTTCTCCACCTTCAGTTTTTCACCTAGAAACTCCATTCCACCTCACAAATGTTCCCCCTTACCAAAAAAAATAATTAGGAGCGCATTTTTTTATCTTTTATTATGGAACCCATGTGCCAGCTCGACACGTATGCAAACGAAACATACCTAACGAAGACTGTAGTCTCGTATCAAACTCATTTTATCATAAGGCTCAGACTGTACCCTAAACAGTACTAGTCTTATTTTAAATGATTAAATCTTTATTATGTAATTATTTCAAAATAATTTTACATCTTTGCGTATCAGGTAGTTTTTCAAATAAATGCTCCTTTCATTTTAATGAGTAGACTACACAAGTTTACATTACTCTTTTTTCTCAATATTACATTGTAACAGAAACACAAATCTATTCTGGCCTCTGTCTTATGAACATATACTCAGCAGCTAAAGACTCTTCAATAAATCGGCAAGACAGTAATTTCGTCGTACCAAGCATTTTACTGAAGTAAATGTGAAAGTGTAATAAATCAAAATAAAATGTGCCATGCATCATTTCTGCAGAATTTTGCATACTAGGGCAAACTATAATTCTTACGAACATTTTAATATCACTTAGAGATATGGCCTTCTGAAGATAAATAAAAGGAATATAAATTAACAGCTTTTAAATATGCGTCTAAAATGAGAGCGTCCGAGCTTCTCAGGGCGGGACTGAAGTAAAACTTCTGGAATTTCAGTTGCCTGGCTCAAACAAATAAATCCAACTGGAAATGTGGCTTCTTATTCAAATGAATGTGTACAATTACTCAGCATGTCATCCCGCTAATTTACGGTCACGAAATAAAAATTACATTATGCCTTGCAATCCGACCATTAACATCACAGGGAGATTTGGGAAACATATATAAAATAAACTAGTAACTGCAGGCAGTAACGAACGGGTCCAAAGCGTAGGATGATCGACCTGGTAGGACAAACAGTACAGGAGGGTACTAAACAGCCAGGCAGAAGTACATAGTCTTGTAATAGGATGGAGATTCCTGAATGTAGGCCTGACAGGTCACCAGATGTAGGACTTAGTAGAATTAGCAAAGGTGGATATTAGACATGTATATATAGTGACCGTAGTGTCCCCGTTTGACCAATTAGCATGAAAGGTGCAGGGTCTGTCTGTGGGCAAGTACTAAATTAGTGGGTCAAATTTTGTGAGGATTGGATGAAGCATGCCTGAGATTTAGGTGTTTGAATGAAATGGGCATGGAAATGGTGTGGCCAGCAGGTGGAGTCAGCGCTCCATTTGATAAATGGTATTCAATACTTTCAGGCCTTCTCATGTGTAAATGAAGTCTGATAATGTTCTACGAGGCAAATGGGTGAAAAATGAAAGGAAGTTAAAAATATGGACTCAGGTGAAGGGAAAACTAACAATTCTTTGAAGGTTTTATGAGAAATAAGGACATTTCAGCTGAATTTGCTAAGGTGGGTCTTAGACGTATATGAACAGTGGCCATAGCACCCCCATTTGACCGGTCGGCACCAAAGTTGGAGTCTGTTTATCGTCAAGTGCTACATTAGTGCCTCACATTTGGTGAGGATTGGCTGAAGCACGGCTGAGATTAAGGTGGTTGATTGAAATGAGCATGGAAATGGTGCAGGTTGGGTGTAGCTGGTGGCCATAGCATACAGGTAGGTCAAGATATTTTTATAAATTATCCATAAGGGCAGTGTGTTGATTGACCTGCTACCAGAATGACCTAGGTGGGGTGGACATTGTAGGAGTTATAATTGGCTGAGGAAGGCCTGAGTTACAGCTGTCTAGTTGCTGTCTAGCTGGCCCCTGTATGGTCTGGGTGTGGCTGGTGGCCGTACTTTACAGAAAGTTTAGGATTTTTAAAATATTTATTTATAAGGACTGTGCTGATTCGAATGATATGAGATTTATCTAGGCTGAGTGAAAATCCTAGGAGGTTAACGAAAAGTCCTGTTTTCAGACCTATATAAATCATGCAAAAATGCAAAGATGGAGAACCAAGTTCTACATGGTGTTTGGTTTGGCATGTCATACTGAAT